CTCTGGCCACCGCAGAGGATAATCAACGGTGCCCTATCTGCTGCATCGAGCAGGGTGGATAGGGGTTTGGATGCTACTGCTCAAGCCTTCCCGCCTTCTTATTCCCCCTCTTACGCTTTTTCACTCTTACCGTCCCATTCCAACTTCACTTATATCCCCCCCAGTTTTCAACCCCCCGATTCTTGGCCCTCCCCCAACATGCTTTGCTAGGCATTTACCTTCTAATTTCAACTCACACGTGAACGCGGAGCGTCACTCCTCTCCTGTCGACAAGCCCATGTCCAACCAAGCGGTCCAATCCAGTTCATCGGCTTCCATTTGGAGCCCTCGATCCTCCTTCAGATTGGCATGCCTCAATGTACGCACACTGCTACAAATCGGTCAACAGGCAGCACTTGCCCGAACATTGGAGACCCTCTTCGATCGATATCTGCTGCTTATCAGAGACTCGCCTGCAAGACTCGAGCACTGTGCTCACTCTGCGATCCCCTTCAGGGGACGCAAGCAGTATTTTCTCCTTGCGCCTATCCGGTGACGATGCAGCTTCGAGCACCGGCCAAGCCGGTGTTGGTATTGCCCTGAGTCCCCGGGCTGAAACTGCTCTGGTTGATTGGATTCCAATCAGTAGCCGGATGTGTGCGGTCCGATTGGCTGGCTCGTTCAAAGCTTCGAAGTCACGTGGGACCAACAGGTGTCTATTCATCATCGCTGCCTATGCGCCCACAAACTGTAGTGATGACTCGGTAAAGAACGACTTCTACCGCCAACTGACCCAGCTCCTTCGCCACAGAAGAAGCACGGACACTGTTGTGCTGGCGGGGGATATGAACGCACAAGTTGGAAAGTTGTCCACTGATGAACTGCATCTGGGCGGTCAACACGGTGTAGGCTCCCGTAAGGATAACGGTGAGCGGTTACTTCATTTGTGTGAAGATGCTCGCTTATTTCTTGCGAGCACTAATTTCCGACACAGCACCCGCCGAAGGGTGACTTGGCGCCCACCAACCTCGAACCAGCCTTGCACGCAGATCGATCACATTGCGATAAGTTACCGCTGGAGAGGCTGCATCCAGAATTGTCGCTCGATTTGGAGCACATGTGTGGACACCGATCATGCACTTGTATGTGCTGACATGCGGATGCGTTTTGGCGGACGCCCACGACGACGCTGTGAGCGTATTGACACCAGCTAACTGACAAAACCAGCTGTTCTGAATGCGTATCGAAGTACGCTAACATGCGAGTTGAGCAAGCGCTCACAGGAGACAACTGATGGTCACTGGTCACATGTTTGCCAGACTTTACTAGCAGCAGGCAAATCCTCATGTGGTATGTCTAAAAGACAACATGGACATTGGGTCTCTTCGCAGTCTCTGGAACTTATAGATGCTCACCGGCAAATCCCGGCTGGAAGCGAGTACAATGAAACTCGCAAAGAGTTCCGGGCAAAACTCCGTGCTAGCCTGGAGAGAGACCGCGAATCTTGGTGGTCTCATCGTGCGTCAGAGATGGAAGTGGCCGCTGCCCTTGGCAACCATCTTAAGTTATTCCGTCTGATACGGGAAACGGCAGCAGGAGACCTGGTGTTAGTGAAACTATACGTGACGAGATTGGACAGCCTATCCACAATTTGTCAAAACGTCTGGAGCGTTGGGCTGAGCATTTTGAAAAGCAATTTAATCGGCAAGAATTGTTCGATTCGCCCGTCACTGATCGCCCCGCTCCGTGGCCTGTCCCTTTGGATCCACCCTCTCGCTCAGAAGTCGAACGTGAGATCGGACTGTTGAAGTTGAACAAAGCCGCGGGACCAGATGATCTTCCTCCAGCCCTCTTCAAATTTGGAGGCTCTGCTCTTGTTGATGCTTTGCATGAATTACTAGTGAAACTGTGGGAGCAGGAAACTGTCCCAACCGACTGGAGCCGCTCCGTTATTGTTCCCATCTTCAAAGGCGGCTCGCACTCGGAATGCGGCAACCATAGAGGAATCAGTCTGATCTCCATCGCCTCCAAATTACTCGCGTCCATAGTTCTCCACAGACTGACTGGCGCTCGTGAAAGCCAGATTCGTGAGGAGCAAGCCGGGTTTCGTCGGGGTCGTGGCTGCATCGACCACATCTTCACCTTGCGTCAGTTGTTGGAGCACCGTCACACATATTGGCGGCCCACCGTAGTCGTGTTCCTCGACATCAAAGGTGCCTTCGATTCGGTTGATCGATGTGCCCTTTGGAATTGTCTACTCAGGAAAGGTGTGCCCAAGAAATATGTAAATATTATCCAAGCATTATATGCGCGTAGCACGGGCAGAGTAAGGGCTTACAGCAGGCTGTCGCCACCCTTCAATATCTCCAGCGGTGTGAGACAAGGATGCCCGCTGTCACCTTTCCTATTCAACTTCGCTATTGACGAAGTCATGGAGATTGCATTTACAGGACATGACTTGGAAGGTGTGGAGCTACTCCCAGGAGAACGACTCCTTGACTTAGAGTATGCAGACGACATTGCCCTCATCTGTGACAGCTCCCAGACGTGCCAAGCCGCGCTGCACAGATTAGCACTGGCTGTCAGTCGCTTCGGGCTTTGCTTTGCACCACCGAAGTGCAAAGCGTTCCTCCAGGATTGGCAGGGTTCGCCCCCTGTGCTGACCCTTGGTGGGGATCAGCTAGAAGTCGTTCAGAAATTCAATTACCTGGGAAGTTGTATCAGCGCCCTTGGGATCGAAGACGAGATCACGAACCGCATAGCGAAAGCTCGAAGTGCTTTTGCTAACCTTCGCCACCTATGGCGGCGGCGCGACATTACTCTCGCCCTGAAGGGTAGAGTGTACAATGCAGCGGTACGTTCGACCTTACTGTACGGTTGCGAAACCTGGCCCCTAAGATTGGCGGACATGAAGAGGCTACTTACGTTCGACCATCGGTGCCTTCGCAGTTTGGCTCACATCTGGTGGGAACACCACGTGAGTAACGAGCGTGTTCGACGCCTTGTCTACGGCCGAGGAAAAGGGAATGAGCCGCTCAGCACCGTCATTTCACTCACCAGGCTCCGATGGCTGGGCCACGTGTTGCGCATGCCAGCCTACCGACTCCCTCGACGTGCGTTGTTTGCTCACCGGGGATGTGGGTGGAAGAAGAGGAGAGGTGGCCAAGCGATGACTTGGTCCAGAGGAATGAAGGCCCTCACTTCGGAGCTGGTCTCAGTTGGAGCTTCACGGCTCCCTGGTTGGGGTCCAAAAGACGGTGAACACGTTTGGCTGGATACACTTGCTGATATGGCAAGGAGCCGACCTCAGTGGCGTTCCTGCTGTGAGTTTCTTTGTCCCTCCCCATTCCTTTAGCCTCCCCTCCACCTACGACCTTATCTCATAGCGTAAAACATAATAATTTTTCTTTTTGCCTAGTAGCCGGCTGGTAGCTTACCGGAACGATGCGTATCCGTTGCTGGTAGCTCAGCTGGCATTCAACTGTCGTATTTATTTTTCCTTTATGTATTGTATGTATGTATGTATTTCCTTTATGTATTGCGGTACAATAGCGGCGGTGTTTTACCATCTCTAGCTGACATGTATAATGATGATGTGTCTGGTCCGTTAATCGTTTATCCTTGTTCGGTTAGGAATTTGTACTAGTGTCATTATTTCCGGGCATACAATCTCTTCTTTTGGCATTGCATGTGCATTGTTTCACAAAAGCATAGGTTTCCAAAATAATCATCGATACGGGTTTTAAAACACCTCACAGAATCGGCCTCTGTTAATCCATCTGGTAGTGTATTCCATAAGTTTGCTATTCTTCGTTCGATACAAAGCTGATGTGATACTTTGTTCATGCTGGGGACCCTGAGTTTGTAACGGTGTCCTCGGGTGTTACAGGGTTCCCGCAGGTGAAATATTGGCCGCAGCATGGGGAAGTGATTTAAGTGTAGTACTCGATGGGTCAATTCTTACTCGGCGGTAGGATAGTGTGTAGAGTCCGAGCCTTTCACAACGTTTTTCATACGGAAGCTTTTGTAGACTTGGTATCATTCTAGTTGCGATATGCTGTATTTTCTCCAGCTTTTCAGTTTCCCATTGGGTTATCGGATGGTAAGCTGGGGCACCGTATTCAAGGATTGGTCTAATGAGCGAGGTGAATAGGAGAGGGACGGTTTCTTCGGACCATGTGGAGAAACTGCGTCTTAATGCGCAGAGCACACGAAGTCCCGCACGGTACAATTTCTCGGTATTTTCTGGTGATCTCATGTCATGTCGTGAGAGAACTCCTAAGTCTCTGACAGATGTGTTGGGATGGAGCAACTGGCCGTCCAAGGTGTATTATCGAATGGTTGGACGTCTGATGATACTGATGAACTCCGACTTGCTTGCGTTAAGAGGGAGTTGCATTTCAGTGGACCACGTTGACAGTCTCTCTAAGTCATGCTGGAGATAGGTGGTAAGAGTCAAGAACTAACTCATGTTCTTCATATTGTGAATTACATAGCACTTATGTCGGGAGGGCAAGTAACCATGGGGCCTAGAGTGGGTAAACAACGTCACGCTCCAGCTTGTGAATTGCGTAGTAAATTTACGGCTTGCAATTTGTTCTTTGATTACACAGATTGTTTGCACACCAGTCCTTGATAAATCTGCATGGTACAAGTCATTGTACTAGCATTCGCTTTTACCTCGTCTGGTTTGAGCGAGTCCTGACGTCCAACATCCGTCCCTCTTACACCAACGACTTCCGTCACGACCTCGTTCTAGGAAGTTTTGATGAGTCTAACAAAATGAAATAGATCAGCGCTTTTTTTTACATGTGTAGTGGCTATCTGGTTGGGGGCCAGCTATGACATGTCACCTCAAGTTGCTCCTTGCTTTGACTTACCTCCATTCTGTGGTTAGATTAGGTCAGATATTAGGAAACCAATAGGGCTCCTCGCGTCATCGAACTGGAGTGCACTACCGTCTCTGTCGCTGCTCTGTGTAATCAATGCCTGTTCGATTTTAACAACCTTTCTCTTTTCAGCGTTCAAGATGCAGAGATGCTGTCACAGCGCGACCGATCAGAACGTACTGCACTTCATTTGGCCATTTCATCCGGTCTGGTGATTGCCACTGAGGCTTTGATTAATCGTGGCGCCGATCTGTATGCCATGGACACGGATGGTCTCATCCCAGCTTTTGCGGCTGCATCTTCCATTCGTGTACGTCTTGCTTTCTTTTGAAAATGTGTCTGTGTTATCCTTCTTTCTCTGTGTGCTCCGGGGAATCCACTCTTAAACAGTTCTTTCGTTGTCCATCCTCCGCTAATTTATACGCGCGCGCTCGTTCGCCTGTCGATGAACACTTCCACTTCGTTATTTTAAACATTCCGTCTCAGAGCTACCACTGTTTACTTTTTGCTGAGCTATCTCTTGATGTTTGGGGGCATGAAAGGTTCACCGACACCTCGTACCGACGTCTCCCTCCACCCAACCACCACCACTTGTTCCATATGGGCTTAGACACTGCGAGGTCACCATACCTACGCAGGTCGTAGCCAGTGACAGGCGGATTAAAAACGGGCGCATGAAACGATTCACCGCCTGTCAGTGCTGAACCTTCTTAGTCACCCATTGTTTGAGCAGTCCCCCTATTAGCATTGCTGGCCCATGCCTTTTCCTTACTGGCTCGAGCCCTAAACGATGATTTCATGATCTCCCGCTTTAGCTCATCAGACGACCTTACTTATCAATTCACGATTTTCGCGCGGATATTAACTACATTAACACCTCGGTCTTTGCGAAATTTCTGGCTGTGTGAGAATAACAGGCAATGCATCCTCAAAACGAATTACACCAATTCTTTGTGGACGACGCTTCCATGCTTCCATAATAGTGTTTTGTTTCTCCCCTTGTTGCCATTGTATAATAACGAGGACCGTTTTGGATCCAAGCGGCTCGTGCTGGTAGCTTCGTCCGGCACACAATCTCGTACTCTCGTCGTGCACCGGACACTTTGTATGGTTATATATACATATTTATTCACAGTCTGTTAACAGACATTGTGCCATCAGAACCATGGCAGAAGAAAAAGGTGAAGAAGATGGGGACACTAATGCGATTAAAAATATGGGAAACGAATTTTTTTTTGGTTTTACACACGCCATTTTGTATTTTTTGTTTTGTTTTGTGAGTTTTTGTGTGTATCAAAGGGATGGTGAAATTGCGGAACAACATTGCCGCCACTGATGTCTGTTGCGGGCCATGACGTCCAATGTTTCCAACCACTGCAATTCAGCATCTCGTGGTCCCCAACCTGGAAGGCGGACTGGTCCGACTGCTGCCAAACTTGAGGTCACCTTCTTCATACTCCTTCTCCACGTCATCGGCTGTCCACCGCGGCACTTTTTCAAATCGCTCCCTGGGAGTGCAAATAGCGCTCGACGTGGAAGGCGATGGGCTGGCATGCGCAGAACATGCCCGAACCAGCGCATGCGATGTCGGAGAATAACGTCTTGAAGACTGGCACTATTCGCCCCAAGCACGCGGTCTCTCACCTCTGCGTTGCTTACGTGGTGTTGCCACCACACCCTAGCAATCCTTCGTAGACAGCGATTATCAAAGACTGATAGCCGCTTCATATCTTCCGAGCGAATAGGCCAAGTCTCACAGCCGTACAAGAGTACTGCACGGACGGAAGCATTGTACACCCTGCCCTTGAGCTTGAGAGTGACATCACGACGACGCCATAGATGTCTCAGTTTGATGAATGCAAGGCGGGCCTTTGCAATCCGTTGTGAGACTTCATCTCCAACACCGCCACCAGCCGTGATGCAACTCCCTAGGTAAGTGAAGCAAGGGACTTGCTCCAGAACATGTCCAGCAATGGTGAGCGCGGGTTCAGGCACCTGCCAATCCTGGAGCAGCGTTTTACATTTTCCCGGAGTGAAGCACAGGCCGTACTTAGACGCCTCCATCGCCAAGCGGTCCAGAGCGTTCTGGACGGATTGTGGGTCGTCCCCGAGCAAGGCGATATCATCGGCATAGTCCAAGTCCGTGAGTCTGTCTCCAGGGAGAAGCTCAACACCGCAGTCCTGGACACCTTCCAGTGCTCTTTGGAGAACATCTTCGATGGCGAAATTGAAGAGGAAAGGTGAAATAGGGCAACCTTGGCGAACACCGCTGGTCACAGCGAATGAAGAGGAGTGCGTGCCGTAAGCCCTAACTTTGCCCGACGTGTGACTGTAAAGTACTTTCAGGATGGTTACAAACTTGTCGGGCACACCTTTCTTCAGTAAACAGTTCCACAACGCAGACCTATCTACTGAATCAAATGCCGCTCGGATGTCCAAAAACACTACGATTGTTGGCCGCCGGTGGATGTGACGAAGTTCGGGAACTTGCCGAAGCGTGAAGATTTGGTCGATGCAGCCACGGCCTGGACGAAATCCAGCTTGTTCTTCTCGGGAAAACTCCTCTCTAGTCGTTGAAAGCCTGCCAAATAGGACCGACACGAAGATTTTGGATGCGACAGAGATTAGGGAGATTCCGCGGTAGTTGCAGCAATCGTCGCGGGAACCCTTCTTGTGAATTGGGACAATGACCGATTCTCCCCATGAGCTCGGAACCTTCTCCTCAGTCCAAACTTTCGTGAACAGCGATAGGATTTCGCTGATAAGTACACTCCCACCATATTTGAATAGAGCTGGTGGTAGGTTGTCGGGACCCGAAGCTTTGTGGCGTTTCAAAGATTGGACTACATTTCGAATCTCTGCTACATTTGGGGGGGGGGGGGCTGTGGAGACAGGCCAAGCATCATACATTGGGGCTGGAGGTGCCGCAGGGGGCTGTGTTGGGTGGTTGAATTGAAGGGCGAAATGCTCTGCCCAGCGACCCAATCGCCTGTGTAGGTTGGTGATCTTCGTGCCGTCTGCCTCGGAAATCGTCTGGCTGATAGCGTGGAAATTGCAACCAGTGGCCCTGATGATGTAAAACAGACGGCGGAAGTTGCCAGCTGATGCAGCGGCTTCCATCTCACCAGCTTGTTTTGACCACCAAGATTCACGATCAGTGCGAAGGCTTGCTTTCAGCTGTTGCGTAATAGACAGGCGATGTTCGTTGTACTCTGCGCCAGCAGGCACCGCCCGTCGACGATCCAGCAATTCTGATGATTTTCCCGAGATCCAGCATTTGGGAGTGGAGCGAGTGAGGCCACAGCTGGACAAACCGGCCGACAACAAGGCTTGCTGGAGACTTGACCAGTGTTGATCAACATCCAGAGTGTGAGAGAGAGGGAGCTTTTCGCGAAGCTTTTGTTGATAATCTCTCTTCACCATTGGGTCCTCCAACTTGTAGGCGTTCAGTCGGGTGTGTTTTGACCTAGGCGAACCACCAAAATGCATGCATGTATGGTTAAGCTTATTAATGACTCCTTTCCATTGTTTGCTCACATAGATGATCACTTTAAACTGCGTGTCCATACCTTTCTAATCGCTACCACACATGTCTCTCGCGGTGCAGTACTTAACTGACGATTGCTGTGTTTTTCTCTACCCACTCGCGCATCTCGACCATTCATTCCTGTAGGGCGCGATCAAAGACCGAATAACATAGGCAGTGCAATACTGGGAGCCACACTCCACTTACGTCCTGGCACTGCGGTCGTGGTGCGTGGATTCTGTCTCTCTGAGCGGTGATTGCATCTCACATCCGGATCTTGGAATGCAGAAACTCCACATTTGATCTTGTTTTCCGATACTTGCATACATTTATTGAAGAATGCACAACTGTTAGGGGATGCAGACCCTAACGAGATCGGTCGGATGTAGCTTCCAGCTATTTGGCTCGCAGCTGATTTGTTGGTCTCATGGTCGTGCACTTGGGTCAACCAATGACGGTTTTCCACATTTCCAGTTTCAAGATCATTGTGTAGGAGGGCTCTATAATCCAATGAAATCTCTTCGCAAGAGCGTATTCCTTGTTGACATCTTTCGGCTTCGGTTTTGAGTTGAGCGGTTGGGCTTTTGAGGTTTGCACCTTCACAGCAGATTTTTCTGACGACGGTACTAAAGTTGATCCTGTGGCAGCAACAGAAGCTATTCGAGAAATCATTGGCGCGTCTAATCGGAACGCTGTCGTACAAATTGAATGTTCAGTCATCCTTAACTGTCAGAAAGCAGTCGTCCGTTGATGCAATTTCAGGAAACATAACAGAACTCACCTATGTTCTAGACGCCGGATGCACTTTGGAATCTTGGTTCAGGAGATATGAAGATACATT